GCTTCTGGTTCTGCCTGATGAGATGCAAGGGGAGAGTTGTGAATGAAGAGGGTGGTGTGAGTTAGATAAAATGGATTTGGTCTATTTTTCACATGAGTCCAAGTGCCTGTCGACCAGAATATTAACGAGCTGGTTAAGTGGCACGTTGCTTACCCTGCTGACAACCTTTAACATCCTGCGTAATATGTTATAGTCTTTCTTCAGTAGCCCTGGAAAAACTTAGGAGGAACAATAGAGAATAATAAGCAGAATGCGAGAAATAACGAATTGTAGGAGTAAGGGTTGGGTAATACCAGAATGTCTTAACTTCTTGATGTAGAAGGTAAGACGAAATATTTTCTTAGAAATCATCAAGATGTGAGACGACCAGGAAAGACTAGCAGATAGAATAACGCCTAGGTATTTAATTTCCGATTTGGTTTCTATTTCAATGCCGTCTATGTTGCATACCTCGTGAGTGCTAACCAGTTTGTTTAGGTCGGATTTATGCCTAAAGGTGAAATTGACTGTTTGACATTTAGAGGGATTTAAGGTAAGACCGTTTTCCTTGGACCACTGGCTGATTTCTGATAAAAAGCCATTTAGTTTGGAGCAGTCACTTTGACACTTGACAGGCAAAGATACAGTCAGATCGTCAGCATATTTAACAAAATTAATGCCATTTGAAGATGGTAAGTGATGTAGAAAGAAAGAAAAGAGAAGTAGGGAGAGTACAGCATCTTGGAGGACACCAGCTTCAGTGAGCATAGCAGAGTAGGATTTATCTTTATATACAGTGTACTGCATTCTGTTTGAGAAATAGGAATGCAACCAATTTGTGACCCAGGTCGAAAGCGACCAGTCACTGTAAAATCTGCAGGTTGATCGTCAAGTTAGTCAATCAATATACTAACACAAAAAGAAGAAACACTTGTGTTTTATTTTCTTAACAAAATAGTCAGAGCGAACAATTGTCGATTTTCAGTAAATTCTTCTTCTTCAGGCTCTACCATTGCAAAACCATTACTTTAGTTTAAGCATTTAGTAGCCGGCTAGCCAGTGAAGGCAAATTAGAATCATACCAGTAATGTGTATTGTGGAACAAGTATAAAATGGGATGGAACAATAGTCAGAAATACGTTATTTCCAACCTTGAACTTATGTCTAGCCCACCTCATTGATTGGTTTATTTTCTGTAGTATTCATATTGTCTCACACACCACTGATTACACTCACCCTCGAAACCTGTACTTTTGTTGACTATATATATATATATACCTGTGTTTTATATATATCCAAACCTAGTTCACTTTAACAGTTTGAAAAAAGTTTGTCATTGTGATTTACATTATAATAAAGGTTTTTGTATTTCCCAATGAATGAAAAACAAAACGATACTGTTTTTACTGACGTTTCGCTATTTAATGCTGCTGCTAATAGCTTTATCAAAGTATTATTAAACCGGAATTTACAAAATCTCAACATATATATAACAAACAGTTAGGGGGTGAGAAAATAGACATAGGTCAAGTTAAAGGGACATATTGAAAGTAAAAATAGCAATGAAGATCACTAAACCAAATAACAAAGGTAATAGTACATCTGTTTTGATATCAAAACAAAGTTTACTAACTTGATCATCGTTCGTCAGTATAGGGTCACTTTTCGTTGTCAAGTTAGTCAATTGGTAAAGATAACAAAATCAAGTGTAGATTGTTGGATTTGATCAGTGTTTAAAATTATAAAGGCAGTGTGTGTTTACGTAGTGAAATTGCTTATCACATTCGTGCTGATTTTGTCACTTCATAGGGGAGGGAGGTGTTGTAACCAGGTCAGATTCTGTTTTAGTCCATCATTCGTGTTAAGGCAATTTGGATTCCACTTGATATGAAGTGCTTCTGATGATATTAGACGTTCTTTGTGATTTCTGAAATTTTTCTGGATGATTTCAGTACTGTCAAAATCAATTTTGTGACCTGATTCTATAGTGTGTAGACCACCAATGGCTGATGATTTTTCAAGTTTTTCTAGTTCAACCGGATTTCTCGGTGATCGAACAGATGCTCTACGGTGTTCATTTCCTCTGATTTTGATTTCTATCTCGCGATGTTTGTCCGATGTATATCGCATCACATTCCAAGCAAGATTTCATTTTATAGACACAATTAGATAGAGAATCTTTAGGGATCTGGTCTTTTATATGAACAAGGTTGTTTCGTAGTGTGCCTGATGTTTTAAAGAAAACTCTAATGTCGAGCTGATTGAGTACTCTTCTGATATCATCTGACGTCTCTGCTGTATATGGAATGACAACTGTCGAGGTCCATATTTTCGGAATACGTTTTCAACCATACTTAATGTCAGTGTTGATTTTGTTGATGAAGTTCCATGGGTAGTTTTTTTGCTTGAGAGTTTCAGTAATGTTTGATATTTCTTCTTCTTTTCCTTTCTCGTCGGTTATCAGAGAGTGTGCTCGTCTAAGAAGACTTGAAACAACTGAAATCTTTGGGCTGATGGGGTGTGATGACTTGAAGTCTAAATATTTATTTGAGTGGGTTTTCTTCCTGAATATGGATATACTAAAATGTCCGTTTTCCCTGCTCTTAAGTAGTGAGGCAGTCTATAAATGGTAGTTCACCGACGTCTGATTCTGCTTCCGAAGTGAATTGGATTCTGGGAGATGCACAGTTTTTTACCTTTAAATAAAGGATAGAAGTTGTGTGTGTGCAGATATTCAACACAGACGCTGTTGCACTGTGGTATTACAGAAATTGTAAATGGTATTGGGGGAGTACAACGATTCACATAAATAGAAAGGAGGTAAATGTATGCTGCATAATTGAACTGAATGAGTTAAAGAGAGTGAATGAACTTTAATTGCGTTTATACTAAGATGGAGACTGTGAAGAATAGTTGAAACAGTATGGACTAACATGGATGCAGGTGAAAAGTACACAGAAGAAGAGCAAGTGGAGACGTGCAGTTGACTATGTTCCACTAGGAACCAAAAATAATTATTAATTGTAATGAAATAACAACTGGGTCTCATAGTTCAGTTGATAGATCGTTGGACTAGTAATATGGACAGCGCTAATTGGAATCTTATCGCAACTGAGATTTTGATTTCACCTTTAATCATTGCTCAATTGATATGAAGAATAACAGTCTGTAAGCTACCCCAGGATATCTCAGACAGTCTTAACAACAAAATAATTTATTATACATTACTTTTGACGTTATTTCATTTTTTGGGATACTCCCCAACTACGCAAATAATTCGATTCCTGGTCATTGAACTCCTGAACCTTGTTTGACTGGTAGTAAGCCGGATAAAGAGGGCAATTAGGGCGTGTGGCTAGTGACTTCACTTCATGAAAACACTACCGCTAGCAAAACTTCAAAGCTTGAATCCCTGCAGTCTACTCGGAATACAAAGAATATGTTCTTTTCTAAAGAATTAATAATAAAAATCAATGCGACTACCTAAGATGACTAACTTTGAGAGGGATCAACAAGAGGATCCAGTCCAAAGCACCTTCTAGATAACTATCTCAGTGTTCCACTGACTGATTCAGTTGACTTCTACAAATAATTTAATCATTTAATTGGTGGATGGTAACTAGCAGTGGAATCCAGGATAACGCGCATTTCATCCTATTTGGGACTCGTCAGCCACTGAATGTACCTGCATTCCCCAGTGAGTGATGATGTTCCCACCGAGGCTCGAACCCATTCAGTTCCCATAGGTTCAAACGCCAAAGCATTATCCACTAGACCACTTGGGCCACGAAAGCCATCTCTTGTTCAACGGGTCATATTAATTATTTAATTGAATTTTAGATTTTCCTGTCGACTGACTGGACCGAAGAGCTCCTCAGTCACAGGTTGAAGCATCTGCACAAGAAGCCGACATGTCAACCTGAGACCGAGGAGCTCTTCGGTCCAATCAATCGACGGGAAAATCTAAAATTCAGTTAAATAATTTAAACATTGCAAGACTGATAAATGGAAGTTAGCGGTCTAACCCTTTCTATGATGCAGATTTTCCCTTCCATGTAACATTTCGTCAACTAACAGCCGACATTCCAATTGTGTAGTTCAAAGGTAGATTACAAGTTAGCTACAAAGAAGGCTTGAGGTCGATTCTCGGCTGACGAACTGATGAAACCTGGTCTAGCCATTAGTAACTCTGCAAAAGAGGAGAGGTTTGGGGGTAACACACCACTAAATCTTCAAAAGCTTGCAGCCTTATACTCCCCTCAGTATGCAAATTAATGAGTATAAGGAAATTTCAGGTATGCGGATGACGTCCAGTAGAGCTTGATGTTTGTTACAGAGAAATGCTCCAGTGGTATAGCGGTTAGGACGCTCGGCGACCATGTAAATGGTCCGGGGTTCGATCCCCAGCCAGCGCACTCCTTTACCTCACTAGGCCAGAAATAAAGCTGGTGAAGAGGAAAGGTTGCGCATGAGGCTAGCAACCCCATCCTATAAAATAAACACTGCTACACAAACTTCAAGCTGGCTCTAGCTTGAAGCCCTATGTTCCACTGGGGAACGTGAAGGAATAAAAAAAACAGTGAAATGCTCCTCTTCATATCTGTCAGTATAACTTGACTCCACACCGTATTTTTGGTTCAAGTATGGAATTTCCAGCATATAATATCGGTAGCCCAATTTTGCAGGCCGACCATTGATATCGAGTGTGCGTCAGCAGAGGATCGAACCCCATGTGCATGGTCGGCAAGAGTCCTGACGGCTGTGACACTGACTAACACGAAAACACCAGTAAGATGAACAGCTGTATGTAAAAACAACTCAGTTAGAATAGATTGTCAGTCGCTTCTTTAAAAGCCATTGATATATAATTAAAAAGGTAGAGCTATTTGTAGACTTTCACACATTCTAAATCATTGGAATTTAAGCGTCATAATTTAGCGTTCGTTTTTAGAAACAAAAAATCTCACTGCAGTCTAGTTAAAACCTTTTTATCGTATGATATAATTATAAAAAACGCATACCTTATGTTACGAAGTTCCATTTCAGCATTCAACTGATAAGAGCTAAAGTCAGTAACACCATTTCTGAATGCTTAATAATAATAATAATAATGATAAAATCATGCGAGGTTTTGTTTTTCAACATTACCTCTTGGCAACCCGAAAAGTGTCTTTGTGTTGTCCAATAACCATAAATCAATGTGTGACTATGAAGGAGGATAATATCGTAAGTTTTAGTCGCGTTTTCATAGTGAAAACGTGTATATTTATTCAATATAAATCAATTTATGAAAAATTTGAAAAAAATATCTTCTCTAGTGAAATGAGACAGTAACTCATTGAAGAAGACATTGCGAAATGGTCGCACTGTGAATTGGCAGAAGTTAGAATTCATGGACTGGCAATTGGATTGGGTCCCAGTGGCTAAGTGGTCTACGAGCTCGCTGGCCTTGAAATCACAAGGTCCTGGGTTCGAACCTCTTGGCAGTGGGTGCGTACTGATGAAGAGTCCCAAACTAGGTGGGACGAAACAGCTGTCCAGTACTCCCAGTTGGTTTTCCAATGGTTCTCTAACTTGAACAAAGCAAGAACAACAACTGTACCAGGATTATATGAGCTCATCTTTTATTATTTCGAGGATTCTTCTAAACACAGAAAAGCGACCTGGAGGGCGGTTTATCTTAACTCCAAAAGCTTCTGCCCTATAAGTTACAAAAAGGGATTGGTGAGAACATTATTTGATTGTGTAAGGAAGCTGTGTTCAAAAGAAAAGATTGAGGAAGAGCTATCCATTGTGGAGAAATGTCTACGCGACAACTGTTACCCACAAAAGTTCATCGACAAGTATGGTAGACGTCATGTTGAAAAAGTGAAAAGCAGCACAGTAGAGAAAAAGCCTATCATTCTGCAGCTTGCATTCAAAGGTGATGATACTGCTAGTAGAATAAGATGCAGACAGAACGCTGCCCTGAAAAGAACATATCCAGCCGCCAAGCTTGTATGTGTTTATCAAACAACTAGTTGTTTGAGACAATCTGAAGTGGACAAATACTCACCTCATGTTACCTCCAACTGTGTCTACCAATTTACATGTAAGTGCCAAAGCACATACATCGGAAGAACAGAGAGAAGGGTTATTGTCCGCATTTCTGAACACATACGAAAGAATCTGAGACTGAAAGGTCCGCAAGCATTAAACAGTGCGACTGCGCCGGTCATAATGTAGACAACTTGAATTCATTCAAAATAATCAACAAGCAAAAGAAACCTAACTTGCTACGCTTTGCTGAATCAGCTGCTATCAAACGACTTAAACCAAATCTATGTACGCAGAAAGAGACAGTGGTGAATCTTGCACTGCCCTAATGATAACAAAAACTATACAACTTTTATGAGTCACCCTTTTTCTTGTTTAGAAAACTCTACTCTCTCATCTAAACATGACTCACCCTACCTTGTTCTTTTCTCTTCTTTTTTCTATTGGCTATTAGATAAAACATTTTCTTTAGTTACGTAATCTACTTTCTGTTATGCTCTTTCTAACTAAACCGTGTTTCTATACACACATATATATATACGCAACTCCGTTTTTTGTTTCCAAGCCTAATTGTCTAATTATTCTATAAATAGTCAGTGCTTGTAACTCTTAATTAGTTAAATCATTCCCGACTAATGTTACTTTTACTTCCTACCAACTACTCCTTGTGATCTTGGAAAAGTATGTTCAAATCTTCAATGTAATTCATATTTTTCATCGTTCAGGTTGTAACCAGTTGAGAAGAATCCTCGAAATAATAAAAGACGAGGTCATATAATCCTGGTACAATTGTTGTTCTTGCTTTGTTCAAGTTTATTAATGGGAAGAATTGCATGAAGATTGTCTAACTGATGTCAGCTCATGATGAAATCCTCCATCCAATCGAACAAAATCCCTACAAAATCAATACTTGAAAATGTTATTCCTTTCAAGTTTACGAACACGGTGCAGAAAAAAACCACGAATTAATCCTTGAGAAAGACTGGTAGGATAGAGGAAGAAACTACACCGGATGAAAGGCGTCATGTTTTCTGAGTTACCACCACGCCACTTATCACCAGTGATATTCTTGATCGTGCAGAAGACTCTGGAAGTGAAGAAGAAAGGCATATGTTGAACTGAAAAGAAGATACTGCAAGATTTGAACTTCTCTGGTGATTTACGACCAATTTCATCCAAACTTTGAGACCTACAGGCAAAACCAGCAAGTTGGTAGAAGAAGGAGAGAAGACAGAATATCAAGGGAATACAGAAATGATAGGGATGATGAAGATATCCAGGCATCAACAACACAAGGGAAAATATCATGCAATAAACTCGTCTGAAAATTCTGTACATTTTTATAAATACTGTCCAGAATAAAGATGTTGTCTACTACTTGCTAAGTGATTTTTAAGAGTGTGTTGGTTGGGAATCGAACCGTGGACCACGTAGGCAGTTGGCGAACACTTTACCTCTGGAACCCCGAAGCGTATACATATTGTTTAAGACATAATCATAATCAGTTGGAGATTATTTAACAAAAGAATGGTTACTGAACAAAGAATACTTTTTTTGATAACCTGCTCTTCATCAGGTTCTACAGTTATATATACATAATAGTAAATGAATGAATTAGTGTTATTAACAACAACTTAATGTTGTTTAAATAACATTGAATCAATAATACAAATGGATTACAGTTCGATAGCACTTACATAACAATACACTTTTGATGATATTAGATTGTTTGAGGCAATGAGGTTACAGGAAGCCTTTCTGAGATTCGAACCCGTGTCACCCAGTGCTGCAGTCAGAGACGTTACCACTGAGCTATTCGAGCTTGCGATTGACCTCCTGTAAGACTGTACTGGATACTTTGATTGGATACTAGTAACTACTATGATGTTTCTAATCCTTTCTTTGGTGCAGATTGAATTCTACCAGTCAAGTTTGCTATGTTACCACCATTCTAAGTAGCTCGCCATCACGGTGCACATTGATTTCATGATATTGGATGGTTGGAGGCAATCTGCAGGAAGCCCTGCTGGGAACTAGGTTTCGTGTTAGTTGTCACTCGCCAGCAAAGCGTATCTGACGCGGGTTTGAATCTCAGGGTCGCAGATACGCCTTTTTGACTAATGAGTGCCAACAATTCAGAGTGTACCAAGATGGTGAGCCACCTAGAATAGTAGTGGCTACATTGCAAACCTGACTGATAGAATTCAGTCTACACCAAAGAAAGGACTAGACACATCACATTATTTACTAACGTCCAATCAAATAACAATACACTGAATATCAGACAGAGAAATTAAGAAAGACAACAATACCATTTCATGAATTTGTAGTCTCCACTGAAGGCCGGCCAGGGCAGTAATATTGGCTGGTTGGACTTGCTTCTTTTGCACACAAAAGAATGGCTGTTCCTCACGTGAATCACGACAGCCTCTGGTGTTTAGAGTGTGCGGTACCTCGATGTTTTTGGTAATTTATTTCAATGAGATAATCTTTAGATTTCATAAGTTTTTATACAAGATTAGAACTGAACACTTTCAACACTCATTTGTTTGAACTTTGAATCAGAATTATGACACAATTCAGATTGTATGTTTTGTAAATAACACCCTGTTTCACATTTTCACATTCCCTTTATATGGAAGCTTTGAATCTATGACATTTCAAAAGCTTAAATTTGTCTTCTACAAGGGAACACACAAATATCTTCAGTGTGCGTCGGTGGTATACCGGTTTGGACGCTCGCCAACCATGCACATGGCCTGGGGTTCGATCCCCGGACGCACTCCTTTACCTCGCTAAACCAGAAATAATGCTGGTAAAGAGGAAAGATTGGGCATGAGGCTAGCAACCCCATCCTGTAAAATATACACTGCTACACAAACTTCAAGCTGACTCTAGCTTGAAGCCCTATGTTCCACCGGGGAACTTGTAGGAAAAAAACAAAAAAAAACTCTTGAACTGTGTTTTTATGTCATTTTTTCTGCCTTTTCCTTGTCTCTAATAGATTCATTCAAATCTTTGCCGCAAGATCTCATGCTCATTTGCAAGCCGTATTTAACGAGTATTCAACTTTGAGCAAAAAAGGCATAGAAGGTGCTTTAAAATCTGAATTGAGTGGATGTATACTTGAAGCTTTACTTGCTATCGGTAGGTATTTTTTTTCCACATTTTTGTTTTCATGCATATACATGAAGTATGTCTTTCTACTTTTGTAACAATTACTTTGAATGGTTTGGATATTAATCAATGAATTCCCCTTGAAGCACTGAAAACAGACCCAGAGACGACAGTGGATATGCTGATGTCACTGTTGCAAAACGTTTGCAAAGAAGTCAAGGTAACTACTGATTGGAAGAAAGGCAATATTGTAAAACTACCAAAAAACGGTGACTTAGTCCTCTGCAACAACTGGCGTGGTAGAATGCTCTTGCCCGCGCCAAGTAAGATACTAAGTCGCATCAATCTAGAGAGAATAAAAGATGCAGAACTCCGTCAAACCGGAACAAACTGGATTGATTGGAGGATTTCATCATGAGCTGACATCAGTTAGAGAACCGCTATCAGCTTACTAGTCTACGAACTCGTCTTGTAACCAGAATGTCCTGGGTTCGAAACCCCTGTGGTGGATGCGTACTGATGAAGAGTCGCAAACTAGGTGGGACGAAACAGCTGTCCAGTACTCCCTGGTTATGGTTTTCCAATGGTTCTCTAACAGATGTTAGCTCATGATGAAATCCTCCGACCGATTCAAGCAAAATCCCTACAAAACCAATACCTGAAAACTGGATTCAGGAAAAGCAGATCGTGTTCTCTGCGCATCATCATCATCGTTGAACAGACAATGCGAATCTTTACCTAAATTTCATCGACTTTGGAAAGGCCTTCGATGATCTGGAAGCTACTTCAACACTGTGGCATGTTAGAAATCTTTATCAAGCCCATTCAGCTGCTATATAACGATAGCAAAGATGTTACTTCCATCACTTATCTGGAAATCATCGTTTC